GACAGAGAGAGAGAGAGAGGCAGAGGGAGAAGCAGGCTCCCAAGGAGCAGGGAGCCCGATGTGGGACTCGATCCCAGGACCCTGGGATCATGACCTGAGCCGAAGGCAGACGCTTAACCATCTGAGCCACCCAGGCGCTCCCGAGGATTTTATTTTTAAAAATCATTTCATAGGAAACTTTTCTGTGCTACCTCCATGAAATGAGGAATATCTATTTTTAGACAGAAAGTGCTAAATAGTGTTGCTGTCCTTTGCAAAAATGAAGAATATTACAGTTGACCCTGAGCACCTCAGGGGTTAAAGGTGCTGACACCCTCTCCTTCCATGCAGTTGAAAATCCCAGTATATCTTTTGACTCCCCCAAAACTACTAATCGCCTACTATTGACCAGGAGCCTTACTGATAACATAAACAGTTGATTACCACATATTTTGTGTGTTATGTGTAATTTATACTATATTCTTTTTTTTTTTTAAGATTTTATTTATTTATTTGACAGAGATAGCAAGAGAGGGAACACAGGCTTGGGGGAACTGGAGAGGGAGAAGCAGGCTCCCCACTGGCTTGAAGCCAGGGACCAGGACCCTGGGATCATGACCTGAGCCAAAGGCAGACACTTAACTACTGAGCCATCCAGGCGCCTCTATACTGTATTCTTTACAGTAAGCTAGAGAAAAGAAAATGTTATTAAGAAAATCACAAGGAAGGGAAAATACATATATAGTACTGTACCGTGTTTATAAAAAAGATCTGTGTATAAATAGATGTGCACAGTTCAAACCCATGTTGTTCAGGGTCAACTATAAGTAGATACACTGACCTAAAGAGTACTATATGTAGCTATTTTGATTTCCAGATCAAAGAGACTGTGATAAATGGATTGGAAAACATGGGAGGTAAGATGGATGTCGATTTATTTATTATATGCATGAGCTTGGCACAAATACTCCCTTTTTTCCTTGAATTGTACTTCACTGGTGTTTTTTTCTTTTTAAATCATTTCTTTCTTTCCTATAAAACCACCCTGCAGGTTTACTTAAATATCTTCATCAAACTCTGTTAAAGTTCAGCTTAGAGGTATTTAAGAAGTATTGTTTTCACATTTCAAATCATAAAATAAGTGTTTCTTTGGTTTTGAAACAAGTTATGAAAAAAATGTAAGAATCATGAAAGTCATTTAGCTTCTAGGTAACTTTTTCAGATTGAATGGTTTTATTTATTTATTTATTTATTTGTTTATTTGAGAGAGAGAGAGCCAGTGAGCATGAGCAGGGGAGAGGAGCAGAGGAAGAGGAAGAAGCAGGCTCCCTGCTGAGCAGGGAGCCCAAACTCTGGGTGATCCCAGGATCCTGGGATCATGACCTGAGCCCAAGGCAGACACTTAAGGGACTGAAGCACCCAGGTGCCCCGAGGTTGAATGGTTCTAAGGCATCATAAGATTATATTAAACAGATTTTCAAGTTTCTTTTTTTTTTTTAAGATTTTATTTATTTATTTGAGAAAGAGTGAGCATGAGCCACGAGTTGGGGGGGTGGGGTGGGGAGAGACAAGGCGAGAGGCAGACTTCCTGCTGAGCAGGGAGCCTGGCATGGGGCTCAGTCCCAGGACCCTGGGATCATGACCTGAGCCGAAGGCAGAAGCTTAAACAAGTGAGCCACCCAGGCGCCCTTAGGTTTTTTTTTTTCCCTAATATACACGGATTTCAACATTCTTTGTTTCAAGTGAAAGAGATTAAACTGATTTTTTGACTTTTTCAGAAAAAATATTTAATACATTTGATCAATATGTTTACCAAACAGAAATATAAATTTCACTCATTTTCCTGGCATAAACATATGTGTATTTTACTTAGTAAAACTTTATGATTAGATTTCTATTTTTTTTTAAAGATTTTATTTATTTGACAGAGCGAGAGAGCACAAGCAGGAAGAGGGGAAGAGGGAGAGGGAGAAGCAGACTCTCAGCAGAGCAGGGACCCCATGGAGGGGCTAGATCCCAGGACTCCAGGATCACGACCTGAGCCAAAGGCAGACACTTAACTGACCGAGCCATCCAGGCGCCCCTAGATTTCTATAATCTTTCTTTTTTTTGGAGAGAGTGCGCGAGTGGGGATAGGGAGTGCGGGGACGTGGGGGGAGGCAGAGGCAGAAGGAGAGAGAATCCCAGGCACGCTCCACGCCCAGCACAGAGCCCAATGTGGGGCTCCACCTCATGACCCAGAGATCACCACCCAGAGATCAGGACCTGAGTGGAAATCAAGAGTTGGTCGCTTAGCCACCCAGGTGCCCCAGATTTCTATTATTTTTAATAGTTTTTGAAAAATTGATTTTGCTGACATTTTATCCTCATACTTATTTATTCTAGTCTTCAGACTCTGTAAACAGTGAATATTGAGGTAGATATAAATATTTATAGTTTGGGTAAAAGCACATTTTTAAGATATAAATTGGGTTAGTTTATCTTGTAACTTCTTTTTTTTTTAAAGATTTTATTTATTTATTTGACAGAGACACAGCGAGAGAGGGAACACAAGCAGGGGGAGTGGGGAGGGAGCCTGAGCAGGGAGCCTGATGCGGGGCTCGATCCCAGGACCCTGGGATCATGACCTGAGCCGAAGTCAGACGCCTAACGACTGAGCCACCCAGGCGCCCTATCTTGTAACTTCTTTTCATGACAGTTTCCTTCTATTCTTAATACTAAAATCATCGCAGAAATTATTCAAATTAACTGTACGTGTTTCATGTACTAATAAACATGTATGATAGTGACATTCATGTTTTCATATAACCTAGGTTTTTTTTTTCTTTCTAGCTGCATTCCAGTCTATGATGACAGGAGGTAACATAGGAAAGCAAATAGTTTGCATTTCAGAAGAAACCTCTGTGTAATCTGTATAAGCATCTTTATCAAGGAAATACACAGATTTCTTTCCATTTTGCACAAAGATTTTTAAGATACATTAAAAAATCTTAGAATACAGATAGCTTTTTATTTAAATGTGATCATTGGTAATATTTTCTAGTTGCATAATTTTTTCCTATATCTTCAATATCGTATGTGTTCTCTATATCCAACATGATTATTTACAGTAATAGATTGAAGTCAACATGACCTATTTTTCTTTCTTTTACTAAAACTGATATATGATATTTGATCAGCTATTCTGAAACCACTGGAGATTTGATATAAGTGTTTAATGGGTCAACCTTATAAATCGATTTTTACAGTTAATAACTTTTATTTAAAATAGAATGCTTGAGAAGACACGTAAATATATGTTGACCTGAAAATGCTTTACATAATTCTTGAACTGTAACTTGGTATAAGAATAGAATTGGGATGGCTTTTCTATATTGTAGATGAAAAAGAGATTTAATGGCAGAGCATGTGTTGGGGTTTGGGGGGAATTTAGAGATTGTGGAGCAGTTTTTAGGATAGGAGAGCAGAGGCTTTGTGTTGAGAAGATTAACAGGTCAGTCAGGTTGATGAAGAGACTAGTTTATTAGAGAGGATTATCTGTGTTTTGCTAAATAATTTACTGTATAGCCTAAAAACGCAAATATATATTAATAAAAGCATGTTTGTTTTAGGTTAGCAGTTACATACTGTCAAATAGTGTAAAGATTTTGAGCAAATAGATACAAACATCACTTGAAGTTTTAGGTGATTAGAAAGATTTAGGCAACAAAGACAGCTTTAGAAAATGACAGGACTGACTGAGCAAATTAACAATTGGTTGTAAACATGAATGTTCAAGATCTAATGTACCTCTAAATAAGACGGTTTGTTTCATTAATTATAATCAACCCTTTTCAACAATAAAATTGAGGATATTTTTCAAGTGTTGTGCTGGTTTATGGTCACCTTTTTACACCCTGCTATATACTTTTGTCTGCAACATATGTAGGACGTAGATTCAAACTGTGTTAGTAATCAGTCACTCCAGTTGACCTCAGCGTCCTCTTCTTTTATATACCTTTCCTGGACCATTTCATCTCCAGAGAGCGTTGTATGTTGATAACTCCCAAATCTGCATCTCTATTTCTGACCTCTTCCTTGAGCTTAGGACCACCCAAGTAAAATATCCTGTTGGCACCCGGGATAAACTGTTTATCTAAAGAGGAATTACCTTCCTCTTACATGTTTCTACTTTGTTTTTAAATCACCATTGCGCATCCAAACTAATACTCCTTCACTCATTCAGATGCCTGTCGTCAGGCCTGTCAACCTTGAAAATGCCTTAGAGAACTCCTTTAATTCCCACTGCCACTATCTTAGTAACTGAGTTCCTCATCCTTTGGCACACAGCAAGTATTTAAAAATTAGTAATTTCAAAAAAGTCTCAACCGCATAAAGCTCTAACATGTGGTGGCATCCAGCCTGGAACTCAAGTGTTCTAGTCCCCAGTGTGGATATTCGAGAGCTCTTTCCATCCTCATATAGGGAATCCAGACTCTAGGGAATTCATATTAGAAGTTGTACACCTGAGTCTCAATTCTTACCCCGTCCCGAATGGAATGCAGAACTAAATTCTGCAAGTTCCCTTCTCAGGCAGCGAAGATTGAGGTCCTCTTCAGTGAGAACTTTGATAAATGTTTAAGTAGTGCTCTCTTTCTCGCTGGCCTCCATTGTAACTAGTTCTGCTCTCAGCTGACAGGAAAAACTACCCCATCTGCTGCTGCAAGGAAGCAGTGACGTCACGGCTGGAATGAACTGACCCCGTTTTTTGGGCTTCCCAGATCTTGGGGCCCCAAGGCCCGGAATGAATAGGGGTCGGGAGACCACAGCTCCTAGCGCCCGGGGGTTCGGTCCTGCGCAGACAGCCCGGCTCCCGCCCTCCCTCTACGCCTCGGGCGGAACCCCGCGCCGGGCCGCCGAGGTCCTGCCTGGAGCGAGCGAGTGGGTGTGAGCGTTGGGGGCCGGCCAAACTTCCTGTCCCGCGCTGCCGCTGCTTCCGGCGGGAGCCGGAAGACGCTGTGTGTGGACGGAATTCGGGACCGCCTGACGGCTAGCAGGCTGCCCCGGACGCGAAGGTGAGCTCCGGGCTGGGCCAGGCCACACACGCGCAGCTAGGTGGTCCCCGAGAGAGAGGGAGTCAGTACCGGCTCCTCAGGGCCTCGGGCCGGGTTCGCCTTCGGAGAGGACAGGGAGACCGCCCCCCTTGGGCACCCCTCCCAGATCTGGCGGGCCCGGGAGCGGCCGGTCTGAAGCCCTATGGCTTTGGCCCTTCCCCTTGCGGCGTTGGGGCTGATGTGATTGCTCCTTTGCTTGGTTTTGGGGTAGGGGCTTAGGAACAAGACGGTCCTGAGAAAGCTGGAGTCAGCAGCGAGTCCCTAAGGGCGGGGGCTGCTGGACTGCCCCCGCAGCCGGGCCCTGCCCGCGGGCCTTGGGGCCCTACACTAAGGCCTTTGCGGAGGGCAAGGAGGATGCGAAGAGGACTCTGCCCTGGATATTTCAGCCCAGAGCTACCCTCTTTCATACGTCCACTTATTTCCTGGGTCTAGAAGAAGGAAGGCTGCCGGCTCTGAGGGGCTTGGCTGCTGGCTTCTCCTTCGCCTGTCATTTCAAGGCGAGGCTGTGGGCTGTGTTTACAGCCCGTATGCGTTCGCCGGTTGAATTTATCCTCTGAAGTTTCTTCAGAGGAAAGAATGGAGTTAGTTTATTAAAGTTTATCCTACTTGCTCATGAGGCCTGAAATGCATTTAGGCACCATTTGGAAGTTAAATATTACTAACCTGGGACTTAAGAATTTGTACTTCATCACTTTAGCACATGGGTCAACGTAACATATTTGCAAGGAGAGTAAAAGAAACATTTTGAAATAGAGTCAGTGGCATTTTGTTGTTAGGGAGTGAGAAATTCCACTTTGTGTTATCTTAGTATGGACAGAGTAAAGTCAACTGAACGGAAGATTTAGGTTCTAATTTTTAAGAATTCTTGATTTAAGTACATGTTTGATTTTTGACAAGTTACTTGATCTCTAGTGCTTTTGTTCCTCCTGTGTAGGTGAAGAGGCTTACCTATTTATTCAGCAGATACTTTCTGAATGCTTAGTTTGTTCAAAGCATCATACTAGGTTAATGAGAGTTAGAATGAATAAATTCAGCGACCTTAACCAGTGAAAAAAATATGCATGTAGACTAACAGCCAAGGCGGGATGGAGTAGTTGCTACAGAGAGGTGAAACTGTGTTGCGAAAACACCAAAGAAAAGGACAGATTCGTTTTGATTGGAGGGATGTCTTAGTGGAGGATGGCATTTGAGTTGTATTTTTTTTTTTTTTTAAAGATTTTATTTATTTTTATTTGACACAGAGAGAGATAGCACAAGCAGGGGGAGCGGCAGGCAGAGGCAGAGGGAGAAGCAGGCTGCCTCCTGAGCAAGGAGCCGGATGCAGGGCTCGATTCCAGGACCCTGGGATCATGACCTGAGCTGAAGGCAGCCGCTTAACCGACTGAGCCACCCAGGCGCCCCTTCAGTTGTATTTTAAAGGCTGGAAAGGATTTCAAAATATCACAGCTGGATTGGGAGTGTTTATTACTGGTCGAAGAACTATTCTAAGCAAAGACTTGAGCACTGAAATAGGCTGGTGTTCATTCCAAAAGCCAGTCCATGTGGGATGGAGTAAAGAGTTAAATGGAGAATATGGACAGTGCTGTAACTGGAACAGTATTTGAGGATATATTGTAGAATATTTGAAATGCCATGCTTAGGAATTTAACTAGTATTCTGAGGCACTGAATTTTGAGTGAGTGGAGTAACTAACATAAGCATTTCTGTTTTGGAAAGATAATTCAAGTGGCTGCATTAAAAGGTGGATTGAAAGGGGGGAATTTTTAGGGCAGGGTGACCAGTTAGAAGCCTATTTTAATAGTGTAGTTGAAAGATAATGAGACCTAAACAGGGTATTACAGGAGGAATAAATTTGGGGAATCAGAACTACTGGGGTTATTTAAATATGGAGGATGAGAGACATTGTTAAAGACCTAGAATTTGCGGCTGAGTGGGAAGAAGATTGGGCAATAATTGAAATGGGTAATACAGGAAGAAGAAAAAGTTTGGTGGTGGAGATGATAATCTCGATTTTGGACATTGTTAGGTTTGAGATGGATATCCGTGGGGAGATAAGAAGTTAGAAATGAAAATTTGGAGTTCAGAAGAGAAGTCAGGATTAGAGACAAAAATTTCGGTATTATTTGCATGTCATTCGTTCACTCTACAGATATTTATTCAGTACTTACTAGGTGCTTGCAGGGAAGTTTGTATGGAAGCCCTTAAATCTCATAGTAAAGCCAACTTTAGAGCTTCACAGTATCAGAAATGACTCGGAGGCCTAAATTCCTTATGAATTACATATAATACTTTGCCAGGCACAGTGCTAGGTAGTGGAAGGTAAAGTTGTGACCAAGACAGACTAGTTCCTGCCCTTGTTTATGGAGCTTACAATTTACAGGGTAGCCAGACAAAAAGTGAATACTATATAAAACCAAAGGAATTAGAAACAGCAAGACACCTGGGTGGCTCAGTCAGATAAGTGTCGGCCTTCGGCTCAGGTCATGATCCCAGGGTCCTGAGTCCCACATCAGGCTCCTTGCTCATCTGGGAGCCTGCTGCTCCCTCTGCCTGCCCCTCCCTCTGCTTGTGCTCTTTCTCTCTCTCTCTGACAAATAAATAAAATCTTAAAAAAAAAAAAAAGAAAGGAATTAGAAACAGCAGAGATAGAGAATAAAGGTGGAAGTATGGGGAATCTTCTTTGGATAAGGTGATCAGACAAAGCCTCTCTAAATGAGTTGACAGTTAAGCAGAGCCCAGAAGAATGAAAAAGAGCTAACCAATGGAGAGAAAGGTAAAAGGGTTCCAAGGTAGAGGAAATGACATGTGCACATCCCTAACATCAGAGCTTAATTTGTTCAAGGAACTAAGATGGCTGAAGCTTGGTGAGCACATAAGGGAGAGTGACTGTTGGGAGTGTTTTTGGAGAAGCACGAGTGGATCACATAAGGTTCTCACAGGCCAGGATAAGGGGTTTGGCTTTTGTATAGGTGCATTGGGAAGCCAAGTAAAGAGTTTCAAGCAGGTGAGTGATAATAATAGAACTCATATTTTAAGATGATATTTACTACTGTGAAGAGAATAGAATGGATGGAGGCAAGAGTAGAAGCAGGGAGACCAGTTAGGTGGCACTAATAGTAGTTTAGGACAAGTATTGATGGTGGCCTGAAATAGGGTGGTGACAGTAGAGATAGAAGTAGGTGGATTTGATGTCTCAGTCGGACTTGCAGCTGGACTGGATATTGGGAGCAAAGGAAAGAAAGTAATAAAAATGACTCCTAAATGGGGTGAATAGTGGTCTCATCTTGAGTGGAGGGTTGTGGTGAGTGGGGCTGGCAGAGTGTGATGGGAAACAGGTTTGGGAGAGAATTCATTTTGGACATGTTAAATTTGAGATATCAAATTAAAATGTTAAGTAGAGATATCAGGTAAGCAATTGTATATGCAAGTCTGCAGCTCAAAGGAGTTATCTGGACTGTAGATAAAAATTTTGGTGATGAGCACCAGGTGTTGTATGAAAGTGTTGAATAGCTATTATATACCTGAAACTAATATTGCACTGTATGTTAACTGATTGGAATTTAAATAAAAACTTTAAAAAAATTGGAGACTATATCATTTAAAGCCGTAAGTTTACACTAGGAGGAGAATGTAGCAAGAAAAGAGAGCCTGGGTATTATCCTGAGGAATATTAATATTTAGAGGCTGAGTACAGAAAGAGTATAGGAGTTACCAAAGGAAACTGGAGGAATGGCAATGATGTAAGAGTAAAATGAGGAGCATGTATCTTGGAAGCAGAGAGTATAAGTAAAGTGTCGGAGGAAGGAGGCAGTGCTTCTAAGGGATACCAGTTATGACTCTGGTTGCAAGTGACCAGTTTGCTTCAGAAGAGGAATTTATAACAAGGATGTGGGCAGCTCATGGGATCAAAGGAAATGATGAAGGCCCTGGCTTCATGAAGGACAGGAATCGGAGCAGCTCTAGGGGAGGCTGCTAGCAGCATTACTGGCATGAATGGGCTGCTGCAGCAGTTTTCAGCCCTTTGTTACTTCTTTGAGAATTCACATTCTGAGGAAAAGTGTCTCATTTGTTCAGTATGGGTCAAGTGTCCCAACAGTTGGCCAGTGAAGAAAAGAACACCTTAATCTGTAGTCTCAACCAAGGATGTATCCAGTGGGGGAGGGGTGGATCCCCAGACATAATGTAGATCTGTCACCCAAGCAGGGGAAATGAATGTGTGACAATTAAAAACAATAGTTGTTCATTACAAAGGTCAAGTAAGATTGGGGCTGTTAAGTGTCCCTCGAATTTGGTAACATGAAGATCTTTGGTAACCTTTGTAAGAGAAGTTCTGGTGAAGTGATGGGATTGGGTAGTGATTGCAGATTTGAAAGTGGAGACAAGTCTCTTGATAAATTTGGCTCTGAAGGATTGCAGAGAAATGGGGAGGTGACTGGAATACAAATGAGGGCTGTGGGAATGGAACACCTCAGCAGATCCTGGGAAGGAAGAGGGAAGGCCCAGGATGAATCCTGTAGTTTCTAAGATTCATTCTGGCTTCACAGTTCTCCAATCCAAATTTCTCTCACTAGTACCTGTTACCACTTTGTTGTTAGAATTTAATCAACGTCCAGGGGCGCCTGGGTGGCTCAGTTGGTTGGGCGGCTGCCTTCGGCTCGGGTCATGATCCCGGAGTCCCGGGCTCGAGTCCCGCGTCGGGCTCCCTGCTCGGTGGGGAGCCTGCTTCTCCCTCTGACCCTCCCCCCTCTCATGCTCTCTCTATCTCATTCTCTCTCTCAAA